TCCCCCCTCCTCCTCTTCCACCTCGTTCTCGGCCCCCTCCTCCACTTCTTCTCTCTACTTTTCCTCCTCCTCCTCCTGCTCCTTCGCCCCCGGGCCCTCGTGTCCGAGTAGTGCCCCTTTGCGATTGGACCGCGTGCGCACCGACGGGGCCGCCGACGCGCGCGGCCGAGCTCAGTCTCTGTCGGCTCCTCCTCGCCCTCTGCCTCCTCCTCCTCTTCCTCCTCCTCCTCCTCTTCCCTCCTCCTCATCCTCCTCCTCTTCCTCCTCTTCCTCCTCCTCCTCCTCCCCCCCTCCTCCTCCTCCTTCTCCTCCTCCTCCTCCTCCTCCTCCTCCTCCTCCTCCTCCTCCTCCCGAGAATCAGTTTGCTCGTCGAATGTGCACAAACTGCGTAGACTCTTCGTCCATCTACGAGCAGTCGGCGCATGTCTCATGGATGCGGCGAGAAAAGCAATTGGCCTTGGCGGTCAACGAGTGGGGAAAATGAATAGAAACAGGCTCAGAAGGCGGAGGGGCTTATCAGAAGCCCTCGCGCCATCTGAGGAGTCCTTTGTGTCTTCGGGGAAGGCTCAGAAAACTTCCCAGAAGGCCCGGGGACTTCCGAGCCTTCTGAGAAGGCCCGCCTCTTCTCGCTTTTCTTCCGCGCTCTCCGTTACAAGGCAGCGCCTGGGCCGAGCACCACATGCGGCCCCAGGCGCTTCCGACGCCGGGCGGCGCATTCTGCCGCACTCCGCCCAGAGGGCTCCAGCTGAACCTGCTGCAGCCGCCGCAGCACCCGGGCTGGGTGGAGGCAGCGGGCAGCGCTGCCGGCGCGCAGCCGCACCGGCGCCCGCCGCAGATGCCCCCGCAGAGCGCCTCCCGTCCAGCCCACGGGGAGAGCCGCCAGACGCAGTACGAGGCGGTGAGCTTTGCGAGCGCGGGCAGCTTGAGCGAGGGCCGCCCGACGCAGTACGAGGCGGCGAGTTTCGCGAGCGCGGGCAGCTTGAGCGAGGGCCGCCCGACGCAGTACGAGGCTCATGATGTTCCAACCTGCTTTAGCCTTGGTCACCAGAATTTCGAGCACCAAGAAAGTACGGAAGCTTGAGGGCTTTCACGCGTTGGGCCCTGGGAGGCGATGCTCGGTCGGCACCGTTTCTGTACTTTCTGGGCGCTCGGGATTCTTTCTGGGACGATGGGAGCAACACAATACAGGCGGGCCGCATTAGTAGGTCGACCCTGCCAGATCAAGGGTACCCTCGTGTCCTGTGTCCTGCGACCCATGCCTCTTGCATGTTCTGTGGCAACGTGGCCCCGGGAAGGGTCTTGTGTCCTCTCGCGTGTCCTCTCCAATCAAGTCCGACTGCACGAGGCGGTGAACTTCGTGAGCGCGGACTGCTTGAGCCAACACAATACAGTCGACCGGCATAGTAAGGATAGGCACCCCTCGCAAGGGTACCCTTGCATCCCTGCCTCGTGGGTCCATCCTTGCACACTTTCGCTGGCCGCGCCCCGCTCGAAACGCCTCGAAATGGGCGTCCAAGGCCCTTGCATCCTCATCGCGCATCCTTACTGTCGGGGGAGCGTAAGACCCGGGTTTGCCAGGACTCGGGTTCGCCATCGTTTTTTGACGACCGCGATTCGGATTTTGACGAGGAGGAGTTTCGCGGGATGTCTGCAGCGGGAGGCCTCGTCAAAATGCAGGCTCGGCCTCGCCATTTTTTTGACGACCTCGTCGGGGAGTTCCGAGCCCCCCGTACCCGGGTCTTACGTCTCCCCGATACTGTACGGGTCGACTGTACGAGGCGGTAAACTTCGCGAGCGCGGACAGCCTGAGAAGGGGCGGGCCTTCTCAGAAGTCTCGGAAGTCCCCCGGCCTTCTGAGAAGTTTCCTAAGCCTTCCCGGAAGACAAGACAAACTTCTCAGAAGGTGCGAGGGCTTCTGAGAAGTCCCGCCGCCTTCTGAGAAGGCCTTCTCCTTCTCATTTCCCCCCCTCGCCTGCCGCCTATTATCGCGCCTCCTTACTGTACGGGTCGACTGCACGAGGCGGTGAACTTCGCGAGCGCGGACAGGAGGTGGGGGAAGGAGGTGGAGGATGAGGAGTAGGACGAAGAGGAGGAGGAGGAGGAGGAGGAGGAGGAGGAATAGGAGGAGGAAGAGGAAGAGGAGGAGGAGGAGGACCCCCATCCGCCTCCTACCTCTGGTGGTGGTGGTGGAACACAAGCCCACCACTTACTGTACGGGCCGACTGCACGAGGCGGTGAACTTCGCGAGCGCGGACAGCCGACCTGAAACCTCGGACCCCGAACCCCCGAACCCCCAGCCTCGATCCTCGAACCTCGGACCTCGAACCCTCGAACCCCGAACCCCGATCTTCGAACCTCGAGCCTCGGATCCTCCTCCTGGGAGGGCTGCCGGCAGGCGGCGGCAGCCGCGGAGACGCCGCGAGCGAGCCCGGGCGCGGCCGCGCCCGCGCCCCACCTCGCCGGCGTCCACGCCTCGCCGGCCCTGGACGCCCGGCGGGGCCTGCGCCCCCCCCCGCGGGGCCCGCGGCTCCCCGGGGGGCGCGCCGTGGCCCTGCCCCTCCAGGATCGCAGGCCCAGAGATTGACACCAACACCAAGATCGGCGGTGTGCATCCACCGAGGGAGGAAGATCCCGATCTCGGTGACGGTGGTGATATTCTGGCTTCCAGGGTGGCCGAACTGTTGCCACCAGCACCGAGATCGAGGATCGTCGCCCCCCTGGGGGAGGCAACCCCCTGTGTTGGTGTTGGTGCCAATTTCTAGGCCTCCAACAGGAGCCCATGCAGGTGCCGAGCAGGGGATGGGCTGCAGAATCGGCTCACCCCCCTCGAACGACGCGAAGAGCGGGACAAGATCGGATCGGGATGACTCGAAATCTCCGAGAATCGGCGGGTTTGGAGGATGTGTTGGGCGCCGCGGCCGCTCCAGAGCGTTCCGGAACGCTCTGAGAGCGCTCCGGAACGCTCTGGAGCGATTTATTCCGATCCTAGCCCTGTTTTACCCCCAGAATTGGTTTTCCCGTGGAGTCCAAGAAAGATGTCGCAGCAGGCTCGTAGATTTGCGGACATCATGCATGTTTTCGCCGGCAGACTCGACGAGGAAGGCAATATTGGGGCAATCGAGTCCTGAGCGCTTCGCGTAAACCCACCAGCTCATCCAGAAACGATGCCCAGGAGAGTTGCCCGGATCAGGCATGTGGGGCAGACACAGTGGAACAAAGGTGAGGAAGCCGTGATAACCCAAGAGGGAGAGGATGGAAGAGTAACCAGAAGAGGAGGAGGGCGATGGAGGCGGAGGAGGAGGAGGAGGAGGAGGAGGAGGAGAAGGAGGGGGAGGTGGAGGGGGAGGAGGAGGAGCGAGAACGTGGAGGAGGACGAGGAGTAGGAGGAAGACGTCGGGGAGGGGAGGAGGGAGGAGGGAGAAGGGAGGAGGAATAATAAGCGGATTAATATGATGATGACGTTAATGATGATGATGGTGACGATGATGATGATGCTGATGATGATGATGATGATGATGATGATGATGATGATGCTGATGATGATGATGATGATGATGATTATGTTGATGCTGATGGTGATGCTGATGGTGATGTTGATGCTGATGTTGATGATGATGATGATGATGATGATGATGATGGTGATGCTGATGCCGATGCTGATGCTGATGCTGCCTCTGATGATGATGATTATGCTGATGCTGGTGCTGTTGATGATGCTGATGATGATGCTGATGATGATGATGCTGATGCTGTTGATGATGATGTTGATGATGATGCTGGTGATCACGATCATGATCATGAGCAGGATTGTGATGATGCCGATGATGATGATGATGGTTATCATGGTGCTGGTGATCCTGATGATGATGAGGTTGATGCTGATGTTCATGATGATGCTGGTGCTGATGTTGATGCTGATGCTGCTGATGATGCTGATGATGCTGATGCTGATGCTGATGCTGATGCTGATGCTGATGCTGATGCTGCCTCTGATGATGAGGATGATGAATCTGCAAATGCGGATGCTGTTGATGATGATGCTGATGATGCTGATGCTGATGCTGAGGCTGTTGATGCTGCTGATGATGCTGATGATGATCATCATCCTGATGGTGATGCTGCTGCATCTGATGATGCTGATGTTCATGATGTTACTGATGCTGATGATGATGAGGCTGATGCTGATGCTGATGATGATGCTTGTGCTGCTGCTGCTGATGATGATGATTGTCATAATGGTGGTGGTGGTGGTGGTGGTGATGGTGAAGCTGATGAGTGTGATGATGATGCTGATGATGATGATGATGATGATGATGATGATGATGATGATGATGATGATGCTGATGATGATGATGAGGAGGAGGAGGAGGATGAGGAGCAGGAGGAGGAGGAGGAGGAGGAGGAGGAGATGAAGAGCGAGCAGAAGGGCCAGAGGCCTTTTGAATTCCTCTCAGAGTCTCCTCGGATGCCTCTTGTCAGCTTGTTGGAGGCCTCTTGTTGCGTGTTGGGGGCCTCTTGACGGTCCCGGGGGCTTCTTGGAGCGTCTTGGGTGCCTCGGGGAGCCTCTTGGAGCCTCTTGGGGTTCTCTTGGGAGCCTCTTGGAGGCCTCTTGCGGCCTCTTGGAGCCTCCTGGGCGCCTCGGGGCCTTCTTGAGTCGCTCTTGGGAGCCTTGGGAGCGCTCTTCGGGCCGTCTTGGGGGAGCCCCACCCACAAATCGCCCCTTGGGCTCCTCTTACGACGCTCTTGGAGCGCTCTTGGGCGCTCTTGGGGCCGTCTTTGGGTCTCTTGGGTTTCTCTTGGGGCCCTCATGGGCCCTCTTGGAGCTGTCTTGAGGCCTCGGAAGGCCATCGAAAGCGAAAGGGCGAGAAGGCAACATTCACGGATTTCCTTTAATTTGGTTTTTGAAGGATTTTGGCCTCTTGGCGGCCTCCTGGGGAGGCTCCGTGGCCACCTGGGGCCGTCTTGGAGCGTTCTGAGGTCCTCTTGGAGCATCTGGGGAGCCATCTTGGGGTATCTTGGGCTATCTTGAGCCATCTTGGGGGATCTTGGGCTAGCTGAGGCACTCTTGGAGCCTGGACGCTCCGACGCGTCGCGGACCCCCCCGTCCAGGTCCGGGGGAGGGGGTAGGGGGAGGGGTCAAGACACCCTCCAGATAGCAAGCCGTCTAGCTGAATCCCACCCGCCCTCTCAACACAAAAGTAACACCAGAGCCTCAGCATGTTCAGCGGTCGTCTTTTGATGGGTAGCTACTGGCAACCAAAGCCGACCCCAGGTGCGCGACGCTTGGGCGAGGTGCGACACGCGTTCCAGGCGCGCCACGCGCGCCAGGCACCCCTGGGGCCCGAGCGTGCCAGGCACGCCTGGTGCGCCAGAGGCGCCACGTGCTCCGAGTGCGCCAGGTGTGCTGCACACTCCAGCCGCGCCAGGCCCGCCATGTTCGGGGCACGTGCAGAGTGCGTCAGGTACGCCTGCGCACGTGACAGAACACATCGGGAAACATATCGACCCCCGCCATCCTTGTCGAAATACAAAGCCCATCATTGTGTCTGGTGGGCCTGTGCACAGCAGGCAGGCCACGCGCCACCACCCCCGCAGTCCCTGTCAAAAACAACTTGACATCTATTGCGTGATGGCCGCGCATGATCCAGATTTAGTCGCGAGGTGCATGCTGTATTGTTTTTAGTCCGAGATGGTAGCCCTGCGCGCGCCAGGGAATATGCTGGCACCCCCGCCGTCCCTGTCAAAAACGGTACAAAGTGTTTGCGGGCCTCACGAACATGACTCCAGACTTTGCCCCAAAGTATATTTTGCATTGTTTTTTGACTGGGTTGGTGGGGGGGGGGGGGGCGCATCGGATTGGCCGCGAATGCTTCAAATGTACTGGCACAGTACGTTTTGCATTGCTATCTAACAGGGATGGTGGGGGGCGGGCCCTCATGGAGTCGGCATGGTTCCTGGTTGGACGCCGGCCAGGTGGGGGAGGGGGTGTATCGGAGGTGAGGGGGTGAGATCGAAAAGGAACGGAGAGCCCCCCTACCGGGAAGTCGGTTTTGGTTTCGTGTTCGTGCGTGCCGTGCGTGCGGGCGAGGCGAAGCTGCGTGGGCGGGCGAGAAGTGTCCCGCCTCTGGCTGAGGCGCGGCCGGACCAAACGTTTCCTGTCTGGGGGCCGGTGGCGCGCGGTGTCCCGCCGGTGTCCCGCGGGTGTCCCGTCGGTGTCCCGATGATGATGATGATGATGATGATGATGATGATGATGATGATGATGATGATGATGATGTTGATGCTGATGTTGATGCTGACGATGATGATGATGATGATGATGATGATGATGCCGATGGCCATGGTGGTGATGATGATGGTGTCCCGATGATGATGCTCATGATGCTGATGTTGCTGATGATGATGATGATGGCGTCCCGAGGATGATGCTGATGATCCTGATGATGTTGCTAATGATGAGATGATGAGATGGTAATGATGATGAAGATCATGATGATGGTGTCCCGATGATGATGATGCGGCTGATGGTGATGCTGTTGATGATGGTGGTGATGATGATGATGGTGTCCAGATGATGATGATGTTGATGATGATGACGATGATGGTGTCCCGATGATGATGTTGATGATGAGGATGATGATGAGGTGATGATGATGATTTTCATGATGGCGGCCCGATGGTGATGATGATGCTGATGATGATGGTGTCCCGATGATGATGATGATGGTGATGATGATGGTGACGATGATGATGGCACCCCGATGATGATGACGTTGACGATGACGTTGACTATGACGACGGTGTCCCGATGATGTTGATGATGATGTTGTTCATGATGATGATGATGAGATGACGATGATGATGATGATGATGATGATGATGATGATGATGGTGGTGGTTATCCGATGATGATGAGGGTGTCCCGATGATGATGATGATGATGATGATGATGCTGATGATGATGTTGATGATGTTGATGATGCTGATGATGAAGACGATGATGGTGTCCCGATGATGATGTTGATGATGATGGCCATTGTGGTGATGATGATGGTTTCCCGATGATGATGCTCATGATGCTGATGTTGCTGATGATGATGATTGTGTCCCGATGAAGCTGATGATGATGTTGGTGATGATGATACTGTTGATGATGAGATCGTGGGATGATGATGCTGATGAGGATGATGATCAGGATGGTGTCCCGATTATGATGATGAGGTTGATGATGATGATGATGATGGAAATGATGATGATGGTGTCCCGATGATGATAATGATGGTGTTGATGATGATGACGATGATGGTGTCCCGATGATGATGATGATGATGATGATGATGATGATGCTGATGGTGAGGATAATGATGCAGTGATGATGATGGTTTTGATGATGGTGGCTCGATGATGATGATGCTGATGTGGATGATGATGGTGTCCCGATGATGAGGATGATGGTGATGATGATGGTGGTGACGATGATGATGGTGCCTCGATGGTGCTGATGATGACGATGACGATGCTGAGTATGATGGTGCCCCGATGTTGGTGATGGTGTTGATGATGTTGTGCATGATGGTGAGATGATGATGATGATGGTGGGTTTCCGATGATTATGATGATGGTGTCCCGATGAGGATGATGTTGATATTGATGGTGGTGACGATGATGGTGTTCCGATGATGATGATGGTGATGATGATAATCATGTTGGTGATGATTGTGATCAGGTGATGATGATGATGATGATGATGATGATGATGATGATGATGATGATGGTGCCCCGATGATGCTGTGGATGATGATGATGATGATGACGTTGATTTCGTTGATGATGACGATGTTGATGATGATGATGACGTTGATTGTTAGATCGATTGTGGTATCAATAGTGAGATCGCTAGTGAGACCGAATGTGAGATATATTGTGAGATCGATCGTGAGATCGATAATGGGATCGATTATGAGATCGTTCGTCAGATCGAGTGTGAGATCGATCGAATGAAATAGATCGAGTTAGATTGAGATTGATCGAGTGAGATCGATCGAGCGAGACCGATCGTGAGATCGACGGTGAGATCGATAGTGAGACCGATCGAGTGAGACGTTGGTTCCTCCCCCCCCGGAACCTCCTTATCACCCTAAGGGTGGTCGTATAGGTATTAAGAAGGAACAGTGATAAATTCCTCCCCGAAGGGGCAGAAGGGGGTTGGAAGAGGAAGTTCTCTAGACCACCTACGCCCAGAGGGCTGGTTGGATTCTGTGGTCGATCCCCCACTCCAAGGTCAGCTCGGCCGCCTCCAGCATGTACATCGGGGAGGACGAGCCGCCGCCGCCGCTCGGGGTCCCCGAGAGACCGCGGGCGCAGACGGGCACGCCGTCTCCGATGGAGGGCAGCGCCCTGGACGAGACCGTCCTCTCCATCCCGAGGCGCTCGGCGAAGCAGAGGGGGAACGCGATGTTCATCTCCACGCCCGGTGCCATCAGCTGCCCGGAGCGCGACGCCTCGACCAGGCAGGGCAGGTTTGATTTGGGCTTCGTCTACCAGGAGTCAGAGCGTGAATTACCTACCCCGCTTTCGCTTCCAGGCAAAACCAAGTCATACCACGCGCCTCATCGTCAAGCGGCCTGACCAGTACAGGCCGTAGTTTGGCATCGCTTGGTATCTCTTGGAAGCGAGGGTGGTCAAAAGCGAGGTAGGTTTATTTGCCCCCTAAGGAGAGGCTCCGCACCGACAGGCCGTGCTTGATAGCGGACCTGGCCTCGGGCCGCGTGCTCTTCACCAACGAGGCCTGCGACCGGCTCTTCGAGACGCTGGCTCCGCTCCCACAGAGGGAGCTGAACGACCTCATCTTCGAGGAGGACCGCCACCAGTTCTCGTCCTCCGTGCTGTATCTAACGATCGGGAGCTTCTCTGTGATGGAGCCCCAGGATCTGGTTGACTTAAAAATGGGATCCAGGTGCAAGGGGGGTGGTGCAATAGACCTGGTGCAACAGATCTGTGGGTTGCAGTAAACAGATCTGGGGCGTGCATTACATTTTGGGGCGCAAGTGTGTTGCTGGATTTCCGCGAGCTATACATTCGTCGCAGTCGAATGCAGTCCAGTTCTCCAGCGCAATGCATTGGCAACACGATTGCCCCAAATCTGCTGCACCTCCCGCTCTCAGCTGGACTCCCTTTCTGGGTCACCCCAAGCAGGAGTTCCGCGTCGCGGCCGCGGCCCGCGCCAGGCGCGCCACGGTGACCGGGGAGAAGCTGCTGGACTCCAAGTGGTGGTTGGCCTTCGACCCCTGCGAGGACCGGACGGGGCTAGGATCAAGTCGGGCATGTCCCTCTACGGGGGGAAAGCTCAAGACTAGTCAACAAATAGTCTGGGGACGATGTTCGTGCTCTTTGAACTCTCGTGCCCTCCGGGCCAGATCTAATTTGTCATCGAAAATCCGCCTGTAGGAGGACATGCCCGACCTAAGGCCAGGACGAGGCTCAGTCCGTTCCAGAACGCTCTCGGAGCGCTCCAGAGCGCTCTGAGAGGGCCGCGGCGCGGGAGGCATCCTCCAGAGCCGCTGGGTCCCAGCTGAGATCCGGCGATGACGATGACGATGAGGACGAGGACGATCTCCCAGACCCCCGAACGTCGTGATTTCGTCACAACGTCGACCCCCCAGGAGGTCTTCACCGTGCCCCCCCGGGACCAGCCTCTCGCCCCGAGCCTTTTTGTTGACGGTCCGCGGGGCCCGGCGAGGGCCCCCGGATGCCGAACATACAGTGGGGCCCATAAACACCTTGCTTGCCTCCAGGGTGCCCTGGGTTTCTTGGATTTCGATGGTTTTGCTATCGAAAGCGTGACGCTCCCACGCCAAGAATCAGTGGACGTCCTGGCGTCTCAGGCTCGGGTTTCGTGTGGAAGGTTTCTTGTGGACTGGCCTCCACTGTAGCGAGAAACCTCCTGTCGTGTTTTTTCCCCGACCTAATCATGTCTGGGGATGCCGATGACGATGACGATGACAAAGTATCCTTCTCCGATTTTACCCTCGTGGCTTTCTGTCGCCTTGATGACCAGAAGGAACTTCGAGCACCAAGGCATGTTACCGAAACTGGAGGGTTTGCCAGTGTCGGTCCCTGAGAGGCGATGCTCGTTCGACATTCTGCCAGCGTGTTGGACAGACACTGCTCCGATACTTGTCTGGGTGCTCGAAATTACTTCCTGGATGCGGTCCTTAAGTACGGTGGTGATGAGGACGGCGGTGATATCCATTGCCAATCCACGATTGGCTTTCCACTGGATTCCAGGCACTGGATTCCTTGTCGAATGTTTCATTATCCAGTGCCATCACCGTACGATGGGAACACCATAAGTCCTGGCTTCGTCTTGCGTCGGCGCCTGCGAGGATCCATACGCGGCGCCCGCCCCGCGGCAGCCTGGGCCCCCCGGCGGCCTGGCGCTCTGAGCTGCGCGCGCGCCCCGCGCGCGCGCCCCGATGGGGCCCCGCCGCGGCGCCCCTCAGGGCCCGCGGACGAGCCGGCCCCAGACATGCTCGCGGCGTGACAGAACTCACGACGGGATGGTTTTCGCTATTTCCGGCCTCCCGGGGCCCTCGCCGGTCCCCAGGACCGTCGAAAAACGGCTCGGGATGAGAAGCCAGTCCCGGGCAGAGGGTCAGGATTTCCGGGTATCGCGCATCGAAGAAGTCAGGACGTCGCATGTCTGGGGCCGCCTGCCCTCCTCGTCCCCCCCCTCCTGCTCCTCCTCCCCCTCCTCCGCAATTGCTTAATATGAATACTACTCTCCCTCTTCCCCTGATGACGTCCAGGGAGTAGTAGTAGACCCCCCCCCGCGTACTGTTTTTTTACACACAGGATTCCCGGGAGTTGGGTTTTCGCCTGCGTTTTTTTTCAAAATGCTGCTCTCGCTGAGGCGCAGGCTTCATTTCTGCTCCCGAATCGTTCCGAATCGTGCTCCCGCTGCAGCGTGGGCCTCATTTTCGGATCGGTGTTTTGCCTCCGTCGTTCAGGATGGCGTTCTCGCCCCAGCGCGGGCCTCTTTCTCGCGCGCCCATCCGCCCGCCACCACCGCGCCGCACCACGCCCCGCCCCGCCGCACGCACACCCACCGCCACTTCCACCCACCAACGCACGCACGCACGCACGCGCACCACCACCGCGCACCGCCACCACCACCGCACTACCCCACCCACCACCACCACGCTACACCGCGTCACACCACATCACACGCGCGCACACACAGACACACGCACGCACGCACACACGCACGCACACGCACACACACACACGCACACACATACATACATTACATACATATATACATACATACATACATACATACATACATACATACTACATACCGCACACACACCACACACACCACCATCACGTACGCACCTGGCCCACCACCAAACCACCAAGACGCCACACCACGTCACACCACAGCACACGCGCACACACGCACACACACACACATACACACCACCACCACAACAACCACAACCACGCACACACGCACGCACGCACGCGCACCACCACCCACTACGCACACGCGCGCGGAGCCACAGGTCCGCTACGACACGCGTCCGCGGATAGAGAAAATCAGCGCCATGGTAAGGGATGGGAGGGAGGGGTAGGATGTCAGATGTTGACGCGAGCGCACCTAACTTGTCCTCCCCCCCATCCCCCTCCTCCTCCTTCCGTTCCCCCCTCCTCCTTCTTCTTCTCCTCCTCCTTCTCCTTCTTCTTCTCCTCCTCCTCCTCCTCTTCCTCCTCTCCTTCCTCCACAATTACACAATATTAATACTCTCCTCTCTCCCCTGGTGACGTCCAGGAAATGTTCGACCCCCCTCCGCGTATTGTTTTTACTAAAGATTTCCGGGAGTTGGATTTTCGCTTGGGTTTTGTTGCAGCTGCTCTCGCTGAAGCGCTGGTCTCATCTTCGGGCTACCACTCGTTCCGAATCGTGCTCCCGCTGCAGCGCTGGCGTCATTATTTCCCAGCGCCATGCTCCGGCATGGTTTTCAGATCCTTCCAAAGAGGCCCAAAATCTAGAAAATGGACCCCCGAATAAACCATCGGAAGTAATTACACAGTCGGTGTCGATTCGTTGATTCTTGGGGCCGCAGAAGCCCCCTCCCTCCCACTTTGGGGCGTCGCCGCGCCATGCTATGTCAGGCTACGCGTTCTCATTTCCGCGCTTCCGCGCTTGTTTTTTTTCAAAATGCTGCTCTCGCTGAAGCGCTGGTCTCATTTTCGGGCTACCGCTCGTTCCGAATCGTGCTCCCGCTGCAGCGCTGGCGTCATTTTCGCGCTTCCGCTCGTTCCGAATCGTGGTCCCGCTGCAGCGTTGGCGTCATTATTTTTGCCCTGCCCTGGCATGTTTTTCGGTCCTGCCAACTAGGCTCCAAAATCTAGAAACTGACCTCCCGAAGAAACCATCGGAAGTGATTACACATTCGGTGCCGATCCGTTTGTTTTTTGTACCGCAAAAGACATTCCCCCACCCTGGGTCGTCGCCACGCCATGCTATGTAATGCTAAGCGTTGATCTTCGACACCATGTTATGCCGTATAATGCTATGCCATGCTGCGACACTCGACTGTGCGAATAGAGAGGAGATCTACTCCATGGTGAGAGGTGAGAGGGAGAAATATGACGTCGGATATGACGCGAGCGTACCTAGCTTATCCTCCTCCTCCTCCTCCCCCTCCTCCACAATTGCACAGAATCTGAATACTACTCTCCTCTCTCCCCTGGTGTCGTCCGGGAAAGTTCGGCCCCCCTCCGCGTACTGTGTTTTTTCACTTGATTCCTGGGAGTTGGGTTTTCGTTAGTTTTGTTTTGTTTACCTGTTGCTCTTGCTGAAGAGCGCTGGCTTCATTCTCGGGCTACCGCTCGTCCCGAATCGTGTTCCCGCTGCAGCGCTTGCTTCATTTCCGCGCTGGCGTCATTATTTCCAGCGCCATGCCACGGCATGGTTTTCGGTCCTGCCAAGAAGGGTTCCAAATTTAGAAAATGGCCACCCGAAACACCTATCGGAAGTGATTACACCTTCGGTGCCGATTCGTTGTTGTTTTTGGGCCGCAGAAGCCCCCCCACTTTGAGGCGTCGCCACGCCGTACTATGTCAGGCTACGCGTTGATCTTCAACACCATGCTATGCCATGTAATGCTATACCCTGCTACGACACCCGACTGTGCGAGTAGAGAGGAGATCTACGCCATGGTAAGGGACGGGAGGGAGGGGTAGGACGTCAGATGTGACGCGAGCGCACCTAGCTTGTCTCCCTCCCCCTCTGTGAAGCGAAGCTTCACAGGGCAAACTTCCTCGTGCCTCAGAATGCACCTCGGGCAGCTCTCGTTTTCCTCGTGGCGCTCTGTCTCCGTTAGCGCCACCAGCACACGCACACACCAGCACGATTATATGAGAGAGAGGGATAGGAAGTATATTGTATTGGGCTCAGTTGTATAGATGTTGGAAGTGAGGGAGAAAGGCGGGGCCTCTCTGGCCCGGGACTCCTGCGGTCCCACAATGAGGGTCTGTAGCCAAATGGCCATGGATGGAGCGAATCAGCAGAATAATGAAATCGACAAGGATCGATTCAAACCGACCCTAAAATATCTTCGCTCCAATCCATGGCTGAACGGACTGCACACTACATACTTACTTGGCTGGAAATCTAGATCACCCCACAAATCTGGGCGAACATCGAGAGTCTGGACAGTCTCTAAAGCATCGATTCCTAGGCCCTTGCTTTTCTTAGCAGCCTCAAACATTTGATCATACCCTTTGGTGAGACTATTTGCTAGCATTGCGTTACTATGTACCGACTGGACAGGACATTCGCAGGCCTCAATCCCGTTCCTCAGCGCTAGGAGTTCCAGACCCGTCCTGAACTTTTTGCCTCCAATTCGTTTTTCTGGACACCGAAGACGATCGTATAGGTTCTTTGAATCGGCCACCAGACATCCAGGAACTCTCCGAACTTGGACCCAGGGATCTCGAAGATCAGGTTTCCATCTAGATAACTCCGACAACAACAAACGAACATAGGTAACTTCATCCTCCGTGTTGACTGTCGCTGAGACCTCTACTGCAGGGGGTGATCTGCACGTCCGTTCTAACCTTCCTGAGCGCCAACTCATCAACGAAACTCCTGTCTCCTTGCCCTCGAGAAACGACACCGGGACAACTCCTATGATCCTCCCCGCCGTCGACGTCCCGTCTATCCTGTTCGCGAAAGCTGCATCACCCCAGCCGACGACCGCCAGCTCCTCAGCAGATTCGAAAGC